ACACACACACACACACACACGTAGCAGATGTGCCACTCTCATCACCTTCCAGCCCTGGTACACGCGTCCCTGGAGGGAAAAGTCCCCGGGAGAATGGAGACGGGGATGGAGCGGCGGATCGCAATCTGAAGCTCTGCGGAGCAACAGATGCTCCTGAGACAGAACCAGAAAAGAGAGAGGTGGAGAAAATAACGGAGGAAATCTGCTCCTCCCTTTTCACCCCCTTCAGCATTCTGCAATCGCGTTTCCTTCCCTTGCCGTTTGACGCAAAGGTAGCCACAACTTTCAGGCTGCGCACATTTCTTTGCGCGAATGAGCCGGACATTTCCAAACGGAAGCCGGGCGACACCAAGCGGCACACGTCGGTCGGACTCTGGACATGCAGGTCTCGCTATTGTGCCCCTTCCTTTTTCATCACGAACGCGGCAGATGAACGGGTTTCACATCTTTACGCGAGAGGATGCGCCCGGACGCGAAATGCGCACGAACGGAGCCGAGTGCGCTCGTTTAAAGATGACCTTTCGCGCGGACCCTGCGCCTTCTTTATCACGTGAGGCTCTTCTTTTCAAAGAAATTCCAATCTGGTCACAAAGTGTTGTCGGCGCGTGGCCGCTCCCTTCCTCGTGCTGGTCTCTGGAGTGAATCAGGATGAGTCCCGTGTGGTTTCTGATTCTGCACATGCCTTTCCTAAGAGCTCAGGTGACTCCAGAACTACCATCCGGAGTCACGGTGGAGGCCCTCAACAGCACCGATCTTCCAACGAACTCCACCAACTCCTCCACCGACCCCTCCTGGTTCGGAGGGACGCCCTCGGAGGCTCCCACGGAGCCCGAGGACGACTGGACGCCGGCGGAGACCTTCCTCTACACGGGAGACCCGTCCACTCTGAAAACGGGCCGCTGCACGCGGGCCTACAGCACCGCCGGTCAGACGGGGGCCCTGCCGGGCAACTTCAACGGCCCCCTCCAGCCGGCGCTGGACGCGCTGGCCAACGCCGCCAACTTCCTCAACATGATCTTCCAGGCCAGCGACCTGCGGGAGAGCACGGTCCAGGAGGACATGGAGTGGTACCACGCCCTGGTCCGAGCCCTCCTGGAGGCCGACGCGCTCGTCCAGAGGGCCCTGCTGACCTTCGACGCCGACCCCACGGCCCCGGCCCCGCAGCTGGTGCTCCGCGCCAGCCGGGACCCGGCCGCCCGCCCGCGGGCCATCGTCCTGCAGGACCTGTCCAGGGCCTGGGACGCCCTCCACCCGCCGGCGCCGGCCCCGGACGACGGCTGGTTCCGGAGGTGGAAGTTCCCGGGGCCCGACCAGCGCGCGGCGGCCCTGTCCAAGCGGGTGCTCTTCAACGACCTCAACACCCTGGACACCCCCAAGTGGGGCCAGGGGGACAGCTACGTCACCAACCGCAGCGGCGTCCACTGGGCCAGCGCCCCCTATCTGGACTGCAAGGATGGACGCTTCGTCCCCGGCTGGGTGCTCACCCTGTCGACCTCCTTCTACGGACTCAAACCCGACCTGACTCCAGAGTTCAGGTAAGGCCGGAAAAAATTCATACACACAC